TATTCACATATGTATGGCATTCTGTACTGAAGCTAGCTGGAGGAACATTTGAAAACACAATTCAATCTACTAATAGCGAGCTATCTGATGGTTTTGTACGACAGATATACAGCAATTCACTGTATGAAAAAGTCTCAAAAGTGTCCCCAAAGCTTCTCGCTCCATCGCTCCCATATTGCCCCCTTTTTGTTCCTTCGCCCCCACGTCACCCCTTTTCGTTCCATCGCCCCCCTGAAAAATGAAATCGTCCCCTGGGGGGGTGATATTGCACAGGTTAAGAACCACTGATTTAGCATATGCAGGTATTGTACTCAAAAGAATATATGGATTAGGAACAGTTGCGTGTAGGGTCAAGGTCAACTTATTAACGGGGCGGAGATCTTGTGCTGGTCTCCACTGTTCGTTGGGCTTACAAACAGGTAGAATTGCAGTATTCCAGGGTGACTGAATTTTTCTAATGATTTTTGCTATCAAGTATTTTTGGATTAATTTTTGAATGGCAATTGCAGCCTCTGAAGTACAATATCATTGGGGTATTCTAACAGGATATGCCTGGGGTTTCAGTTCCACCAAAACGGGCGTGGCATATTTTGCAAATCCAGGGGGATTATCCTCCGCCCACAGGAGGGGGACATTAAACTGCTGCCACGTATTATCTTCTACTTTCTCTTTTTCTATCACTATCATCAAACACTATATTTCTTCCACTGGGTGGTGCACTTGCATTAATTGTTTCCCATGGTCAAATGATATTGTTGCTTTCAACCTGGTAAGCAAGTCCCTCCCCAGTAATGGAATTGGGCAGTCTGGGGCATATAGAAATTGATGTTTAATGATTCCTTGTCCCACATGGCATTTTAGGGGTTCCAGGAGTGGTCTGGATTGAGTTTCTCCAGATACTCCCTGAATTTGGATGGTCTGGTTTGATTGCTTGCCAATAGATTTATTTAGGACAGATCTGGTGGCTTCCGTGTCAACTAACATCGGGACAATCTGTCCCCCCACCCGTATTTTAACAATGGGCTCTGGGGGTGGGACCATAGAACCCTGTCCTCTTCAGTCTCCCCATTCCATGTCGGCTAAGCCGATCATGTTTTGTTCTCTTTCTTCTGTCTGACTGGGATAGGCTGGATACCCTCTTCCCCTGAAGCTTCCCTTGTAGTTTCTCTGGAAAGTCCCTCTAAATCTTCTTCCTTGTCCTCTTCCATGCTGGCGAGATTGTCCCCTAGGTTGGCCATTCCTCTGGGGGCACTTCCTTTGCCAGTGTCCTTCCTGTCTACAGATGGCACATTGATTGGGTCCAATATGCATTCCCCCCAGTGCCACTGCTAACATTTCAACTTTCTTTTTCTCTTTCTGATCTGATTTACGCTCCTCTTCTTTTTCATGGTTACGGAACACCTTTTGTGCTATTTCCATAATCTCTGCTACATTCTTGCCTAACACCCCTTCTGTGTGCTGTAACTTTTTTCTTACTTTGGGTGATATATCTTTCAATTAGGAGTGGGTGATTTTGAGTCATCTCCATATCAAGACCTGTATTTACTTTATAAGCTTCTATCAGTCTGCTGAGAAAAGCAGTTGGTGACTCATCTCTCTTTTGCCAAATACTAGTTACAGCAGCATAATGAATTGGATGGATTGCTGCTTCTCTCAGGGCTTCTAAACACAAAAGCCGATAATTCTGCAACAAAGTTTGGTGCTATGCATCGTTAGCATTCCAGTTTGGTCTTATTTCTACTGCATCGGTATTTCTGCTTGCCTGATAATTCGCTTCTCCCTCCGGGTGTCGGCGGGCAAGTACTTTCAATTTCCCTAATCTATATTTTTCTCTTCCTTCCATATCCAGTAAAGTAGAAATAAGCTGTTTCATATTATCCCAAGAGGGGTTATGGGTCTGAATAATGGTGGAGAATAGGTCTATTATTTCTTGAGGTTTTTCTGAAAATGGTCCGTATTGTTGATGCCAATTAAATAGATCAGTGGTCGTAAAGGGAACATACTGAAGCATTGGAATATTGGTGTTGTTTGGTCCAGGGACCAAGACTTCTCTTAGAGGGCTATCATTTCTTCTGTTTTGACCCCTATTTTACTTCTAGTTCGACTAGAAACTGATGTTTTGCTTTCATCACTATCCAAGTCCTGTTCTTTTTTTCTGAACGGTTTTATCTTCTTTTATCTTTCTTTCCACATTGCTTCTGGTTGAAGATGGACTTCATTTCTTTCAACCGAAGGGTGTGGAATTTGCTGATGTATTCTCCCTTCTTCTCTTCTAGGAACATAGGGAGGGGGTCTGGCAATTTCCTCCCTATCTTCCTGTCTCAAAATCTTAGCTTTTGTCTGAGGCTTCGCTTTTTGGTTTGCCAAATATATTTTAGCACATTCTATCTGACACTTTGCTAACCATCGAGGCTTTTCTGAAATATTAATCTGCCATTGGTCGATATAGGGATATTGGTCCCAATGACCACTTCCAGTCACAATTTGATGAACCTGTGCCATGAGTTTGGGATTCGCCGATCCCTCTTTGGGCCACCCTATGCCAAAGGTGGTCCATTCAGATTCACAGAATCTTTTTAACATGGCTGGATTTGGTCTTGGGTCCCCATAATCCCTAGAAAACCCCTTTTAAAAATTTCCTAACATGCACTGAAGCAGCGTCTGACCAACGCCCTTCTTTGTCTGGTTCCCCCCCCCCATTTCTCACTAACAACTACCACTGACTTGAAGTGCTGGACATTCCAACGGTCGCTCTGCAGGAAATGCGATGGTTTAACCACCCACACAATCCTACCTTTTGAAGACTTAAGGACGCCGACTTGTCTTCTAGGGGATGATCAGTCTCCTCTTCTGATTCAAAAGGGATCACATATCCCCTTTTACAATACTTGCCTGCAGGTGTTCCAGACCCTTCCCAGGATTAAAGACCCGTCTGCTACCCTCAGTGGATCCTTGACTGAAATGCTTTGCTGGTGGGTGAGTTTCCCTCCCTTCCTGTTGAGGTCTCCCCATAGACAAAGGCCACAGAGCCGGCTTGGAGTTGTGGTTGTTAGGGGTGGGGCTCTCCACCAGGGCAGTCCATCTGGAAGGTCAATGGCCTCTTCCTAAACATCCCGTCTGGAGTGCCAGAATTCTTGTAGAAAACGAAAGAGACTTTTATGAATTCCAAAGGGTTTAGCAGAGAGATTTATTGTGCAAGGTTCAGAAGCAGTGAAGACAAGCAATTCTGAACACTGAGAGAGGGTTCAAACTACAGTTTTATACATTTCTTTTCTCAGGAACAAAGGGGCACACATTAGTGATACACATTGTATTTCTTTAGGTTAGTTTCTCACAGGCATACAATGGTCGGTTATGCTAGATACATTGTTTCCAAGTGCAATGCGCATTTGGTTAGTCACAGATTGCTAACACAGCTTTATTCCAGTAATTATGCAGACATATCATTGTTTTAATGATTTTTCATCATTATTATTATTATTTCACATTATTCTATATTATTCTACCTTAATACTGCAACACTTGTAACTTAGAAAAGTTGGATAAATGCTTGTAAATCAAGGATTACCTATATTCTTGAGCCTAATCTATTAATGTTCTCTCTCTCTCTCTCTCTCTCTGTGTGTGTGTGTGTGTGTATGTGTATGTGTGTGAGAGATGACTTTCTCATTGACACTGTGCATTTACATTCTGATTATCATCAGACTTGTTGATTTCTGAATATTACTGATGCAGGAGTCGGTCTGTTAATAAATGATTTAACACTGCATACTTAAAATATATGTATGTTCTCTTTCTGAGGCTGTTAAAGGCTTGGAGAATCATTTAGTGCCAAATTAACATCACATGTTTTTCTGCTAATGATAAAGGAAGTTCAGTTATATAATCTCTCTTTCACATGTGCTGCTGAGAAAATATATGGTGCTCTCTAAGTTTGGTTGTTTTCTTGCAGACATTTCATTACCTAACCAGGGAACATTATCAGTGCTAAAAGAGAATGTAGTTTGATCTGTTTTATACAGCTGGCTTTCCCTGTCAGTAATGGTGGAAATGTTCTTAATAGTTTCTTGAGCAGATTGTTGTTTATTGTTTGATTGATCAAAGAATAAATAGCCTAATGTCAAGGGCTGAACATTTCCACTCTTCTTTGTCGTAGGTCTGCTTTGAGATCTGATATAACCTGTTGTCTTGAGGAGAGGGCTAAGTATACAGGGATTCAATAGTTTGTGATTGTGCATAGATGTGCACATATATCCATGTAGTTTTTTCCTTAGAGAAAAGATGGAGCAGAATTAAAAGAGATAGTTTAAATGCAACTGGGAGAAATTGTAAGAATGGTAAGCATACAAGTGGAAGATAAGTGAAAAAAAATTCTAATAGTTTGAAGGGATTTCATATCAAGTGGCAGTAGTAATATTTCTACATGCATTTAAAGTTACCGAATCATGTGCATCTATATGAATTGGACCATTTAATCAGGAACCATTTCCTGTTAAAATTTAACTGATAGAAAAAATAGGAGTAGGTAGAGGAGATGAAGAAATGTTCTTCTGTTTAGTAGACAAAAATAAAATAGGCAATCAAAATGCAGACATTTTTGAATCATTCTCAGAGCTGGAAAATAAGTGGCATATGAATACAGTTTGTCTAATTTGCTTCTTGGTGGACCATCTTGTAATATTCACGTTTTTAAGATTCTCAGATTAAAACATTTTAACTGGATATTAATAGCATTTTACTTTTCACAAAAAGCTAACATAGCAATAAGAAAACAAAGCTTAGGGAGGGCAGTGTAAAATCTATTCTTAAGCTGCTATGGATAACTTGTGGAGAAAAAAAATCAGTATTTAAGGGTATGGATAAGGTTTGGTACTTTTACTTTAATTTTTTTGTTACTACTTCATTCTATACTATTAGATCTAGAATTGTGGATGCTTGCAATCTGATTTTTAAAGTTTTTTTTTTTCCTGTTTCTTTCTCCCTTTCCTCTCTTTGTCTAGTGGGAAGAAATTGGTGAGGTGGATGAAAATTATGCACCAATCCACACATATCAAGTATGTAGAGTGATGGAACAGAGTCAGAATAATTGGCTTTTGACAAGCTGGATCTCTAACAAAGGAGCCTCTCGGATATTCATTGAACTAAAATTTACCCTTAGAGACTGTAACAGCCTTCCAGGAGGTCTTGGAACTTGCAAAGAGACTTTTAATATGTACTATTTTGAATCTGATTATGAAGATTGGAGGAATGTAAAAGAAAATCAGTACATCAAGATTGATACCATTGCAGCAGATGAAAGTTTTACAGAATTAGATCTTGGAGATAGAGTTATGAAGCTAAATACAGAGGTGAGAGATGTTGGACCTCTGACCAAAAACGGATTTTACCTTGCTTTCCAGGATGTGGGGGCCTGCATTGCACTGGTATCTGTTCGGGTCTATTATAAAAAGTGCCCTCTGGTGATTAGAAACCTTGCCATCTTTCCTGACACCATCACTGGAGCGAATTCTTCACAGCTACTAGAAGTCTTAGGATCATGCGTGAACAATTCAATGACTGATGAACCTCCAAGGATGCATTGCAGTGCTGAAGGGGAATGGCTGGTGCCAATTGGAAAATGCATGTGTAAGGCAGGATATGAGGAGAAGAACAACACCTGCCAGGGTAAGGATTTTATGCCAGAAATAGTTTTATTGATCTGTTTGGAAAATAAATATCAATGCTAATGTATGTATGTGTGTATGCATATGTGTACACACAACACACACATACAGAATGAGAACATCCTACTAGTATAATGAAGGATGGCAGCCTAATTGTTTCTCACATAAATATGCTTTCTTACAATGCCATTGATTGCTACCTCTAACAAATGGGTGACTCAGCCCCACTTATGCAGCTTATAAAGCTATTCTCTGCCACTTAGCTCATTAAACTGCATCTGGGAAGGATGGAGCAAAGTAATATTCTAGATTAAATTGTGCATTTGAGTCTATGCTCCCTTTCTTTTTTTGCTCAGTTTTGCTCCCTTTTGTACATGACTATAAAGGGTTTATAGTGGCCGATGTGGTCCTAAATCCATAAAGAACCTATCGTCTATTTTTGAGTGGAGGCATTTTAATAATTGAGACACCATAGTATAAATGTAATGATGTAGACAATGTACATATATCTGCAAAACTGTCCTAACTTGTTTTATAATTCAGAATTATACATACTATATCTAAAATAACTTCTAATCAATTTGCAAATATATATTCCAATTGGTACTATGCACTTTGTGTACATAGGATTAGCACTATGTATTGTGAAATATGTTCTAACTGCAAAATAGGGTATAGAAATGGATGAATGTAGTAAAATATAGATGTGACTTTTTTAATTTGCAGGCAAGCAGCAGTATACCCCTTTAAAATCTTCCTGCCTTTATTGATGTGGTAGATAAGCAGACATCAATATAAATTTAAACACAGCTATTGTATCATGATATAAAAATATAAATTTATGGACACTGGGCTTCAGACTTCTGTAACTTAATGTATTCTACTACTACCAAAGCGATCTCCAACTTTATTAACTATAGATAAAAATATGGTCCAGAGTTGGATTATGAATTATCTATGGGTATCATCATGTTTATAATTGTAATGTTTCACAGGATGAACAAATCTTTGTAGCCTTTGTATAATTAAGGGTTTAGAAACATTACATTATTTTCAAAATAGTATTTTATATAGTGGCATGCAGGGCAGGGCAAGGCAAAACAAAGCTTTTTTTTACTATGAGCACACTGGCTCACATTAAAAATGATATTCAATCACTGTCCATTTTGAATACATAATGGAAAAAGGAAACTTGAGAGTTCACAAGATTGATGCTATCTGGAACAAAACTGTGCTTGAATCTGAATGTTCTGCTTCAGATACCACGAAGCTTCCTCCTTCACAGATCCTGAAGAGGATGTATAGCATCCCAGATAATACTGCAGACTTTGCTCAAGCATCACTTGCTATGTCCTGGATAGAAGGAAATGAACTGCTAATAATCTTTTCTGCCATCCTCACCACTTTCTGCACTGCTTTCCTACCTGAAGCAGTAATGTTTCCAAACCAGACAGTAATGCAATGTGACAGGATTGTCCCTCTGTAGAAAGTGGTAAGGATAGGGGAAGGAAGATGTGTTTTTCTCATGCAACACAGAAAATGCAAGTGCTGCTTTGCCTGCTTCACCAGTGTCTTGCTGTTGAGCGACCAAGCTAGTCTACTAGTTAGTTGCACACCCAGAAACTTGACGCTGCTAACCACCTCCACAGGGAAATCATTAATACACAAAAGTGTATGGTTGTGCCTGCTTTTTCTGAAATTGACAATAATCTCTTTAGTTTTTCCTATGTTTAAAATGAGGCTGTTACACCATTTCACCAAACCCTCTATTTCCTTGTAGTAAGCACCCTTATTGTCATCTTCAATAAGGCATACTACTTTTGTATCATCTGCATATGTCAAAATATGGTTGGTTGCAAACCTGGCACAATAGTCATGGGTCAACAGGATGAACAACAGCTGAGGAGAACCTGTGCTCAAGAAAATGGTGTTAGAAATATTAGTCCTAATTCACATAGACTGGAGCCTGTCAATAAGGAAATCAAGAATCCAGTTGCACAAAGGAGTGTTGAAGTCTAAAAGGGCCAGTTTGCCTACTAGATGCTGAGGAATGATTGTATTAAATGCCAAACTGAAATCAATAAACAGCATTCACATATGAGTGTTTCTTTCCTATAAGTGCACCAAGCTCAAATGGAGAACAGAAGAAATAGCATCCTCTGGAGAGCAATATGGACAGTAGGCAAACTGAAGGGAGTCAAATGCTGGAGGGAGGCTGAATGAAATAGCATTATGATGCTTCATGTGTTAAACATTAAAAAGTTCATGAACATTCATACTGGTTTTTTTGAAGCAAAATCAATTTATTAATGGTGAATTATCTCCAAGTTGCTCTGTTACATGTAAATTATCTTCTGTAATTAAAAAAAGAAAAGAAAGCTGATAAATGCCAGAAAAATTTGGGGAATTCATAGTCACAAATTGAGATTTATCAGCTACACCAAAAGAGAAGGTTTGAATGCATGCCCTTTCAGTATCTAGTTGGTGATCTTGAGGTTAAGTTAGTACTGTGGTTCACATATTAAAGCTTCAATAAAAGACCTGGGTGACCATTTTCTGTTTGCTTTGGAATTCAGCAACGGATTTTTTTTTTTTTTGCCATGATTATTCTTTCGTCTTGTGCAATTTTTATGGATTTTTTTTACATTAATCTTTGTTTTTAAATATTTTTAACACTCACCAGTCACTAGGAGTCAGGCATTATATAAATTTAATAATCAAAACAACAATAATAAAATGTTTACAATGAGATCTCATATATTCAGCAATATCCAATCTAATAGGATGCAAAACGTGTGCAAGACTTGGTGGTGGGAGATTGTCTTCAGGTCAGTTTTTGACTCCCAACAACTACATGAATTAATCATTGGAATTTTTTTGGCAAGAAAAGTTTCTTCCTAGGGTTGAAAGAATGTGACTGGCTCAAAATAACTTATCTGGCCTTTTGCATAAAGCAGAACTAGAACTCACAATCACAGGTAGTTCTTGCTTAATGACTGGTCCCTTAATAAGTATTCAGAGTTACAATGGATATCAAAAGATTGAGAGATCATGTGGTGACCTACTTAATGACCACAATAACTTATGACTCATTCCTAAATTATGGTCGTAAATTGAGGAGTACCTATACAGCAGTCTGGCTCTTATATGAAACTTTAATAATCCTTTAATCCTCCTTAATATCCTTGATGGTAAACTTGATTTTTTCACTGATGTTAGTCTAGAGAACCTGAAGAATCCTCTAGGCCAGATATAGTTCCCTCATAATCTTCAAAGCAGATGGCTCATTCATATAATCAAGGCTTGTCTTTTTTAGCTGCCCCATTTTCATTTTGCATACTGCCTGTTTTGCTCACAAGTATAGGAATGAAATTAAAATATTCCTGTATTGGAATACCATGGTACCATGATTATGTGATAGTGAATCCAAAAATGCCAGGGAATTTCTAAAAGCTTGGCACTCTGACAAATCAGCCATCAATAGACACATAGACATTAACAACATCTATAGACTCTAGAAAGAGTACAGAGAAGAGCAACAAAGATGATTAGGGGACTGGAGGCTAAAACATATAAGGAACGGTTGCTAGAATTGGGTATGTCTAGTCTAACGAAGAGAAGGACAAGGGGGGACATGATAGCAGTATTCCAATATCTCAGGGACTGCCATAAAGAAGAGGGAATTAAGCTATTTTCCAAAGCACCTGAAGGCAGGACAAGAAGCAACGGGTGGAAACTAATCAAGGAGAGAAGCAACCTAGAACTAAGGAGAAACTTCCTGACAGTGAGAACAATTAATCAGTGGAACAGCCTGCCTCCAGAAGCAGTAAATGCTTCAACACTGGAAGTTTTTAAGAAGAGACTGGACAGCCATTTGTCCGAAATGGTGTAGGGTTTCCTGCCTGAGCAGGGGGTTGGACTAGATGACCTCCAAGGTCCCTTCCAACTTTACTACTATTACTATTACTAAAAATACACAATCAACCAGCCCAAAAGAGAAAAAGATTCCAGCACCTCTCCACCAGTAATCAGCATTGAGATCAGCATAGATTAACTCCAAGGTCACCTTCAGACCAACAATCAGGTAAGCAATACCCCAAGTAAGTAACTGCCAAAGAGCCATTAGTAAAGAGCCCAACCAAAGAATCTCAAGACCCCCCCCCCCAGACAGGCAAGACACCAGAATATAAATTGGTAGCAAACAGCATTCCTTACTAGCACTGATAACGTTGCCTAGTTAGGGTATGAAATGTCTGCAAGAAAACAAGCTCAGAGAGCACCAAGGATCCCTTATTTCAACTCTGAGTTACAAATATTTTCCTTCATTGGTATATGATAGTCAACAGAATGTATACTTTTAGGTTTGCAGGAGTTGATTCTGCCATTTTAAATACTAGTTTCTGTTTTGTTCCCCTCTCTATTTCTTACATTTATATTTGGTCTCCAAAAAGCCTCTTCCTTATCTAAATATATTGCATCACCTCAAATCTTTATTCTTTGTGGTTTTAGATTTTAGAGAGAGATCACTTATCAAGGCTACTAATTAATTTTTCATTTCCAGAGATTGACAGAGTTGGGAGGATGGAGGATGGTTGAATTTTCCTTTTGTCAGCCTTGGGAATCAATTAGATCACGGATGTCAAACTTGCCACTTCACGTGACGTGTTGCAATGTATCGTGACTTTTTTCTCATTGCCGGAGCTGGGTGGGCGTGGCCTTTGTATGATGCAACTGGCCTGTGGGCTGGCAGTTTGACACCCCTGAATTAGATCAATCACTCACTCACTCAATCGATCAATCAATCATAAACTACTTCTAATCACCACTTTATGACTCCAGTAGTAACAATTAAGCAATTATCAATGTTATAATGCAGGATATTCTTACATTTATTAATCTTTACTTTATTATATTGCAATGTTGACAGGACAGTTGGATTCTCAAGCTTGATAGTTTTCTGGCTTTTTTAAATTGCTTCGTGCTTCCTTGTTGAATGGTGAT